TTCTCAGAGTACTGGATCTGACCCATCTCTCGCTATGAAGGCTTAGTCTGGCACGAGGTCAATGGGTTTCCCGATTCAATCTGCAAATATAAACATCTTTTAGGCAAAATATTTAACTACGAAATTCTCAGAAAAGAAGCAGATGGATAATAATTCAGGGGAAAACGGAGATCAACTCGATTACCGATGAGACTGGAAATGAGGGGTGGCTTCTAATGAAAAGAGGAGGCAAAGGGAATAGTAGGTCAGAAAATAAAACTTAACAGGAACGACTATGTGTTCAGATGGTTAATATATATTGTGTGGATGCTTTTTTTGGAAAAAGAAATTACTAGAAAATAGCAATTAGAAATTAACGGCTAAAATTTGGAGTTTCAAATTTTGAATTCCCGCTTTGAGAACATTCAACACACTGAGGGAGGCCGCGCTCCGCAGCTGATCATCAAACACAACGGTAATATTCTGTTGGGTTGAGTTCAGCAGTATGCTGGGCTTCGGCAAAAATAAAGAAGGGTTGTCTTGGGCTTCCTAGTGTATTTGCCTATGTTCACGTTCTCTCGAGGTTTTTTTTTTTTTGTCTGTACCCCCAGAAAAGGTTTTTTGTGTAATGAAATTCATTTCGATTTTTTGAAAAAAGGGCAAGCACCCCTTCATCGCAATTTTCATGTTAAGAGTTATAAATTCAAAATGGTATTTCTAAGGAGGTATCTAAAAAATTCACAGCCAATTAAGGGGTCACTTGCAAAAATCTATGACTGGGATGCATGGCCTTTAAATTAGAATTAATTGAAAAACATCGTGACCATTAATAGGTGGATTTAAAGTTTAAACGTAAACAAATTTTTCACAAGTGTCTCACAAATATTTTCTATCTTTTTCTATTCTAATTTTCTAATGTCATTAGGCCAAAAAGAAGAGAAGAATTGTGTTCTTGATCCGGGGGAAAAAAATATTAAAGTGTCCGATAGAAAACGCACTAAAATCTCCACAATGAAATCAAAATAATTCAAAATCAGATATCAGCTCAAACAATTTTGTGGCGTTAGTCAGCGAAGCAAATCATTTCTCCCTCATCTTTTATCTTGGCCATGGCTAGCGCACAGTACATCCTCCCAAAAATCTTGTCCCCTGATGCTACTTGAAACCAAACCCAAAAATTGGAAAACTCATTCACAAACCAGGACATGTCAAATGGAGAAAAAAAGTTTGCTTATTATGTATAAAGCATCGCTTGTTAGACCAAAATCGTAGCCCGAAACTGAATTAACTGGCAGGGAACAGCATTGGGATCGATCATTCCATTGAACAATAGAAGAGCATGAAGCCAAGTCTGAGAAGGTTTCATTGTCAGAAAGCAGCATGAGAGCTTCTTCTCTTCACCTTTTCCTTTGTACACATGAGAAAACAGAAACTTGTAGCTCTCTAGCGTGTGCTGTGTGGGAGATGTGTTAAGCTATGTCTGGTCACAACGTTGTGGAGAACTAAAGAAGGAAAAACATGCATGGGGGCCTAACATTCCGTCCTCTGCAGGTTCCCCCTTCTTCTTATGACACTATAATGTAAATAGTATAGATTCTCCTCACATCCATACGATTGCTGTCCAAAACAATGCTTTTGTCTTTCTTGTCCATGTCAACCGACAAATGCAGAATTAGCCCTTCAATTATTTCAGTTTTGACATAACAATCCTCATGAATCTAAACTCTACTCCACAAATTACTTCAATAGCCTGTTACCTTCTGATAAATATAAGTGTGACAGGAAATGAAGTGGGTGAAATATGTTTATCTGAAGTCATACGGTAAACTTAACAGGTGTGCAACTTCGTATCAGACGAAACTTGTACCTACTAAAGAGTGAGACACAAGCACCAGTCTAAATAGTGGAAGAGCAAGATCTAATTCCTTTACAAACTTTTGCTATCTTTAGACAAGGGAAAATTCGAGATCCTGCTCAGTTGGCACAGTGCTGCTCATTCTAGTGTATTTTGTAGAGATTGTTTCTAGTATTATATTCATGGAAAATAATGTTAGACGTCTTAAAACAGGAATATATGTCTGTATTACAAGACTGGCCTGCCAAAAAGTTGACTTTGAAGTGCAATATAGAGTCAGCAAGAGAGGCAAGATTTAGTTCATGTGGGAGCATTGAATGGGGCCAAAAACCAGAGTAGTTTCAAGTTGAAATGGATGTGGCCGGTGCTCGGAATCCGAACCACTACCCGAGGAGGATTATGGTGTTTTTGTTCTATCTTTTATCGATGAAGCCAGCCTACCAAGTGTTGAGCTCCCAGGAACTAGATTCGCCAGGAGATATCTGATTTGGTTTGAATATTGAATCCGCAAAAATTGGTCCAATATTTAAAACCCAATTATTAACCACTAGAAAGCAGAGAAGATATATGCTAGACCACAAGCCAAAAGGCATCCAAAAAATAATGTGAATATAATATATATCTGCCGTGGATTTGGCAAATAAGGTGAAGTGGTGTATTCCTATCAATATCAACACAAGTACAGTGATATCCCAAAAAAATTAAAATGCATGTTAATTCTTTGGAGACTTTTATTCTGGAATATATATAGCAATAGTACATGGAATCCAAACAGGCAAACAAAGGACAAGATCGTTACATAGTGGCCTTGAGGCCATCTTCTGAGTATGCAACTGCATGCAGAAGTACATAGGGGGGAAAAGGCCAAAGTGGATGAAAAGAGAGAAGTTGTGAGCTGGGAACCTTGAAGGGGAAGCGGAAAGGAAGAGAGGGTTCAAGTAAAATGCCAAAGGATACTGAAATTGCCCTGTGAGAGAAAACGAAGGAGATCAGAGAGAAGCATCCCCATTATTGTCTCTCAGAAACAATGAAAGAAGAGGGAGCTCCCACCATGCAGATGAGGAGATGGTGGGAGGCAGAGGAATTGAAAGAAGCTTCAAGTGACCATTGAAGAAGGGGAAGGGGATGAAAGAGGTGAGGGTTGGGAGAGAGAAGAAAGGGTTTATTGGGGGGGGGGGGGTCGCAAGAGTGGACTTCTCTCTCAAGAAAGTAACACCAGAAACGGTATCTTCCAAAGGATATGCGGCGACCACCTTCTTTGCTCCACATCCTCCATATCCCTTTCATTTCACTTCCCCTGTTTTCCTATTCATCAATCATCACCTTTTTCCCCTTCTTTACTGCTAATATTACCAACCCTTTCCCTCGGCCCACGCGCTCTCTTTCAGTCTCTTCATTCACCGCCCTTCCAGAAAAAGAAATGTCTGCTTTTGGGATGTAAATATGTTTTTCCGACATATTTTTTCTTTTGAACTGGATCTGACATATTTTTTAAATACCTTAAAGTTTAATAAACCCCAGTTGTATATTTGTGGTGTTTAAATAAAGCGCGTGTGGTTTGATTAACAGATTAATTTCTGGGCATTAGGAGGTTACAAAGTCATCTTGCTTTCCTTCATCTATTCATTTTTAAAATAAACTAAAGCGGCGGTCTTTCACTGTAGTTATTCTTCATTAAGAAGGAAAATGGGTGGTTTAATAAGCAGGTTCACCCCACGTTCTGATATAGTCATACATGATGGCGTCAAAGAATTGGGCAGAGAATTCGAGGTTGGCTTGTCATGTTGAAATCACCAAGTAATGAAGGAATGAGTACGCAGAGGCAGATACTTGATAAAGGTATAGACACCTGATACGGGGTTTGTTTTGGACTTATCTGATACAGTCTGGGCTTATCAGATGTCCATGAGCGTGATTCGCGACCTAACATATGCAATGGGCGGAGTCCGAATTGAATCTTTAGGCCATGTAATTCAAATCTCTAGCCATTTCTAGTTAGATCTTCAACTTGATGAACTTGGCCTTTTCCTTTCGGGGAAGCTATTTTCCACATACGGGTTGCGAAAATGACACCAACTAAAGGTTGAAAACTTAGAAATGGAATAACTTGGACGCAAAGAAAGAATCATCGTGCACATGAATAAAAGTTTGGAACTTCATTTCCATTTCAATTCCGTGTTTATATTCATTTGAGTAACCAGTTTAATCGTGAAAGGGGGGGGGGATCCCTTCAATTTTGAGATTTTCGTCCACATTCTCTTCCATTCTTCACGAGTTCTGTACGCAAAACTGAGAAACCCAGGCCAAATTAAAATTTGAGAATTACTGCATATATCATATGGTGCTCTGCTCAACCTGAGGAAGCAAGTAACGCATCGGCTTATGAAGAGGTTCCTGGAATACCTTTGGGATAAATCTAGCTAACCCATGCATAATTCTTTCTTTCTTTTTTAACAAAATCCATGCATAATTCAATAAACTACTTTTCGTCCTTAATATAAGACCCATTTAACTAATTTGATTAGATTAAGGAAGTTAAGTAAATTAGTTAATTATAAGAAATATAACATATTTTTCCTAAAACACCATAATCATCTTTCTTAATACTCGTCTCTCTTTTCTACTTGATTATGGTTGAGAGAATATCTATAGAGGTAATTTAGAGAAAATTGATAAATATGAAAAATGGGTTTTATATTTAGGACCAAAACCAACTCAACAATTAGGTCATATATTAAGAACCGGAGGAGTACAATAATACGTTGTTCCTGGAATTCTCTCATGAAGGAACAGTCATCTTCCCTTCTGTCTAATTTTAAAGTTTGAGCCAATATATTCGCGAAATCCATAAAGTTATAATACTAAAGTCTCAAAAACTATAATAAGCTGGCCCTGAACGCTGCTTTTCACTTTATTGCCGACAACAGCTGTTAGGGTCGCAATATTGATTTGCATTCTGTAACATTGAAGGAAAGAACAATCCTATGACCTGAATCCCTAGATGTCTTGAGTTTCATGCACGAAATTCTAAAAGAGAAAAAGTGTCCTATTAAAAATGGTCAAAGTAGTGCAGAATCCCAGATGCTGTCCTGCATTAATTCACCCCAATATATGCACATCTCGCTTACTTCCTCTTCCAAACATTCCTTTCCCTGAATTCTTACCCCCAGACCAGAAGCAGCCTTTTGAAATGGCCCTTCCACAATCACAGGATCAAGCAGCAGCCAGACCAAGACGACCAGGCCTGCTTCGTTATATCGCCGTAGCCATTTTGGCACTGATAGTGCTGGCAGGTATAGTGGTGCTCATTATCTGGCTGGTTGTGAAGCCAAAACGCTTTATGTACAGTGTGGAAGATGCTTCAATCCACAATTTCAACTTAACAGATGCTAATCACCTCTACGCCAACTTCGATTTTAACATAAGAGCGTACAATCCCAACTCCAGGGTCTCCATTTACTATGACACCATGGAGGTGGCTGTGGTGTACGAGGACCAGACACTGGCCACAAATGCAGTTCAGCCATTCATTCAACGTCACAGAAATGTGACTAACCTGAAAGTGAGCCTCACTGCTAAAACTGTGGCCTTGTATGGGTCTTTGCCTAAAGACCTTAAGCTGGAGAGAAGTTCAGGGGATATTGAACTAGACGTATGGATTAAGGCGAGGATTCGGTTCAAGGTAGGGCTGTGGAAGTCAAATGATCGCACCATGAAAATCTTCTGTTCACCTGTGTTGGTCCATTTTTCTAAGTCCAAGAATTTCGAGAGGACCCTCTGCGGTGTAGAACTCTAAGCTAGCCTTCTGGACCCTCTGTGCGCGTAGTTGCCAACTGGGCACGTCGGTCTCTCTTGGTTTGGACATTTCTGGGTTTATAATATGCTGTTTTGCCTTTCTGACTCTCGCCATTGTCCTGTTGTATAAGAGTTGATCTTGTGAATTGTTTTTATCTTCATATTCAATTTGTATTGTTTATGCGGATTTGGATTTTTATTTGTTGTTTGGGCCGATTGATGCTTGTAACAGACCTGGTCACTGGCTAAACCCAAATGTGCAGATGGAAGCCTTTTACGTGTTTTGGGCTTTTTAATGAAAATGCACTGCAAGAATGTAACATCGTTGTAGATGAAAGTCCATTTATGATGACGTGATATGCATATGGTGTCTTATCGAAATCTAAATCACAAGAGTCGAAAGTCAATAAATGTTTGAAACAAACATTTAATAATGCCATTTAATTTAAGGTGGCTTGTGGGAAGTGCATTGGTGCAGTATAGTTGGTAGTTGGCAGTTCGTGGCACCTAAATCCCTTTCGATTTTACCAAGCTTTCAAGTAATGCCGAAAGGAAAGAAGCATCGATCGATCGTTGGCAAGTAAAGCAAAAACTAATATTCAAAGGATGAAAATGAAAATGACTCTTTGGCATCTCCTTGCAATGTTTATTCCTCCCTCTCGTTGTTCCCAACCATATTGACAATATTGTTTCGTCTAAAAAACTTACTGCTTTTCCCCTTCCTTAGGCAGCTGTAAAATTAGAGAAAAATATATCGCTTCTCGTTTTCCCACTCTCACCACCTTTGAAACTTGAAATTCCACTCCTATTGGACAGCCAAAACTAGGATTTTGTGCCTCCCTGAGCTCTTTTCTCAGATCTCTGCATGCATTTAAATACAACATTCCCATGCATGATCAAGTTGCAGAGAAGAACATGGGCTGTAACATCTTGTTGCGCTTACTATTACCAGTTTTTTCTTCCTTTTTTGGGTGTTCTGGCAAAGAAAGTGGCAATTGATGATAGTTGGCCATGGTCCATATGGACCACTACGTTGCTTAACACGCGGGCCATACCGTGTGCAAAAGATGTGGAATTTGATACTCTCAAGGAGTACAGATACTGTTTCATTAGTCGACTTCTTGTTCAATCAGACCCTTTATTCTTTGGCCGAAATTGTTAAATCAAATCTAGATCTATTGGGTTAGATCCAATTGATATTTAGCAGACTTTGCCATGAGACGATTCTACTGTCTTGCTGAGAATTCATGAGCAAACACTTTACTTAGCTTTCAACTCTGTTCAGCAAATCAACCATTCATTATTAGCTAAACCAAAAAAATGATAATAACGATCAGTATTAACAAACACACAACATTTATTATTCAATTAATGCAGCTTAAAATTTTTCGTCTTAAACAAACTCTCGATGGGCTACAGAAACTCTTGCATTATTTCAGAACTAAAAGAAAGCCACGGAAACTATAGCGCGATAATGGGGATTTGTTTCAAGGGGAGTGAGACAGAAGAACATGACATTTTTCCGCACCTTTCGGGATGTGCATGCAACGTGTTCGCAAATATGCCACTCTCAGCTGACAGTAAGTGTAAAATAGATTCGACTCAAACACGGGACCATATTGCACACACATACTGTATCACTTGCCCTTGGTACGAGCTTCAGGAAGCCCTCTCCATTGGAATTTCCGGATCCGTGTACGTACAAGTTTGGTGCCTGATGACAACTTTGTATTCATCAAAGTTGATAGCTTTCGTTCTTCAATTGCCATCACCAACCCCGTCAGTGGATTATGGAAATTAATGAGCCCTGTAAACTCAATTATATTAGTTGCGCTGAAGTTGTCGCCAAGTCAACTCGTTCGTTGAGCTTTTCATTCTACGCGGATTATGGGCCAAGAAACACGATGATAGAATTTAAAGTTTCTTCCTTTCTCTTCCCAGCAGTCTATTAATAAAACAGAGCCGAAGCAGAGTAGGGAGGATGTGATTTAAAAAAGAAAGAAGAAAAGCAGAAGAGGAGTCTCAGGGAAGTTTGGTGATGGGGCTATAAAAATTGAGCCAAACAGGATTTGAATTTGGGGGTTGCTTTGGTTCCAAGAACACTGAAATTCACGAGATAAAGTCATAAAGTTAATATGTTTGTTAAAATAAAGCAAGCTGATGATTAGGTTTGAGTAGCTTTAGGAAGACATATTTATGGGTGGGTATCTTTATAACTTCTTTTCCTTTTAAAACTCTGCAACTAGCTAATTAAGACTGGAGCTCATGAACCAAAATCTGTACCCTTTATCCGTTGATTTGAGGAACTAAAATGCAACGAAGCAAACTACACGAAACAGTCTAAAGCGAGTTATATGAATGCAAAAAATGGGGAATGTGGAGGAGGCGAGCTTTTGGGAACTTCATGATGACTATACTTTCTATGTAGGTTTACTTAAATTAGTCACAGGTCACACCAACTTTAAAGTGGTATTTAAGAGGGTGATCAGGACATCAATTTTACAGGTTCTCAAGTACTCCACGATGATTAATTAGTTGCCTTGCCTCCCTTTTTTGGTTATTCTTATGTTTATTCTTGTCAATACAAAAGAAGGAAAAGCCAAAAGTCGATGTTGCATCGGATGAGATTATCCTAAGAATGACCCCATGATTACAGCCATTTAATAACCAGCCTAATCTCCAGAACCATGAATTTGTTCTCTCTTCTTCATCATCATTGGCACATCTTTATCTTTATTCTCTGTTTTGATGAGGACTTAGTTCTCTGCTTTTCATCCCAACTCTCCCGCTAGCTTTCCTCAAAATTTAAAAGTCAATAAAGATCGACTGAACTCATTTTACGTGTTAGTTAATTTTTCTGGCTCAATAACTAACAAATCAGGAAAAGTTACCTATGACGGTATACATCCCATGCATCTACTTTCTACTCCTAAACACGACTGCTTCATATGCTTCTTATTGTGTTGGGGTTTCATTTTATTTGTATTTTTTTAGTATAAAGTATAAATAACATAACATTTTTTTTACTAAAGCATATGTATTTTTCTATTGGAAACAATCTTATTCAAATAATGCCGGGTACTAAATGGAGACACTTCTTTCTTCTAATAGGGATTCAAACTTTGATTCGTCATGTTGTGAGGACTAGCCTGATTCATTAGAGCCAACTCTTAACATAACATTTTTAAAAGTATCTAAGAATTATACATTTTGCAGTTGCAGATCCAATTTCAACGGTACTGTGTAGTTGGGGAAAAAATGGGCTCCGAATGTACGACTGCGTTGAATGCTGGTGACTAACAGCAAACTTCACGTTGAATTGAAGATTAGGAAATTTCGTCATTACTGCCCCGTAAGCAAAAGAAAGAAAGGATAGGAACCGCCACGTGTCATTAAATGATAACCGATCGCGAAAATTTAGACGTTAGTGTTACGGCGGTTTCTTTGGAAAGTCAGATACCAAATGACAATGTCCCCATTTATTTATTTTATTTGTTAATCGGCGCTCTTCCCTCTTTCCTTCTCTCCCTCTCATGCTTCCATTTACGTTGTCATCTCTCTCTCTCTCTCTCTCTGAGAATTTCTTCACAGCTAGGGTTTCGTTTCCTCCACTTTAAAATCAAAAGCAGAACTTTACTGGTACGTGTTTCTGCTTCAATGTTTATTGGATCGAATGCTTAAGTCATCTGTTTCTGGGTTCTATGGCTGATTGTGGATTCTGATATGTTTTCCATTACCTTTTTCTATTGGAAAATTGAATAGTCAGTATCCCGATTTGAATTCCGCTTGGTTTCCATTGTCTTCTCTCTGGCTGGCTTTTGAGAAAGGTGAGAAAAAATGGTGAGAAATGAATTTTCAAATTCATTGTTCTGGGGACGAACTAAAGAACTCCAGCTCCTTCAATGCAGAGGGTCCAATATCTGTGTTTTGTTCAGTTCTCCTGAGCTTATCGAGTATGAGTTTTTACCAAAATGAGAATCTGAGGTCCGATTTCATGACAAATTCTTAGACGGCGCTAAGGATCGAATAATATAGTCTGCCGTTTATTGAGTCTGTTGATTTCAATCTTACTGTTTGGCGAGTTTCTGTTATGGTGTAGGAATTCGATGACTTCTCGTAAGTCACTTTATGATTTCAAATATATCTGTTTTTTTAATTAAAAATGTTGATGTAATTTACTCTTTCTTTTGCAGGCTGAGGTTTAGGTGGCTTTAGCTCCTTCCATTGGGTAGTCCAATTTTCGTAATTCCTTTCTTGATGATGGGGCTGAGATTCATAAGGGTGATAGCTAGCACTGAGATTTTGATGGCAAATGCAGTGGGGTCAAATCCTCGCAGATATGAAGCGAGCAGTTTCTAGAAGGACTCCTTTGATTCTGCCCATCCTAACTATGCGAATTTTAGTGCACTGGCCTCTAATGGGTTGAAAAGATCTGTGTACTCATTAAAAGGGTAAATTAGAAATGGCTATTGCTGGACTACATAATCTGTCTGTGCTTGACTCTTCTTTTCTTAGGGATTCCCACTCTCAATCCCCTAGGAGGCGAGAAGATGGAGGGAGTGGAAGCACCCGATCTTCCTCAATCTTGCAAATGTGGCGAGAGATTGAGGATGAGCATGTGGTGGGTCAAGTCCAAGGAAGACCTGGCGACGGATTACTTCAGCAAAGGAGTGATGAGTTCATTACTGACCTCTCACAGGCAAGTGTGCCCGGTAGCCATGACACAGGAGAGAGGCATGTGGTAGAAGATTCAATTTTGGGTGAGACTGATTGTGAAACATGGTCACAGTCACAGGGTCAGCTTGAATCTCCTGATGAGCAGGAGGAATTAAACAATTGTAGTTGTGATAATTCTTCTGATCTTGGAGAAGTTGAAAGGGAAAGGGTGAGGCAAATTTTCAGGGAATGGATGAAAAGTGGTGCTGGGGATCAAGCCACAAACATTCCCCAAGGTCATAGCAGTTCAAGATCAGAATGGCTCGGTGAAACTGAGCAGGAGAGGGTGAGAATCATAAGGGAGTGGGTACAATTGAGTAGCCAGCAGAGAGTTATTTCTTCTGGGGACAACAGGGAAGAACAATCAGCTGAATTTGGTACCCAAATAGAGCGAGTTCGTGATGGGTTTGCTGTGAATCAGAGCGAGAGTCAAACTGAGCATATGCGAAGGGGTATCCGTAAATTATGTGGCAGACAGGTTATGCTTGATATGCTTAAGAAGGCCCAGAGGGAAAGACAAAAGAAGTTCAGGAATTGTTGGACCATAGAGCTGTATCTCATTTCCCTCATCGCAACCGCATTCAGGTTTGCCCTTACTAATTATTAATTAATTTAGATTAGATGATTTTGAAGGTACTCCTTCTCG